TTGCAGAGAAGGGAACCAAATGGGTAGAGAAGAGGCAATACCACTTGTTCACAGGGTAACCTTGGGCCAAGTCTCCTCAGCAGTGATATTTCTCAGCTTATATGAATAAATCAGCATCTGTTTATACAGTAGTCTCTTGTGAGTCTGGTCAGTGTGACTTCCTCAGTGCTGACTTTCCCTGAGTGAACTCATAAACCAAATTTATTGTTCTGCAAAACTAAGACTGGCCAATCACCCTAACATTGCCATTTTTCTCTGGGGCTACAGCCTCAGAGAACAACCATTCTCTNCAATCACCCTAACATTGCCATTTTTCTCTGGGGCTACAGCCTCAGAGAACAACCATTCTCTAGAAAGTGGGCTTTGAGAATATAGGCTCTGGAGCCTCAGCACTCTTCTGGGGAAGCTTCCATCATGCATGTGGCTGCCTTCTCCAGGCACCTTAGCTGATAGCCTGTTTCATGGTGCTGAAGCCTCCATACCTCCCTTACATACAAGGCCCAACTTGGAAACATGTTCTAAAAAGCTGACATAGGGTACCAGACATGGGTTCATTTTAGAAGGAACTAGACAGGTGACAGCCAAGTGACCCCCCATAGACCAGCCCATTATAAGCTCATTCTTACATAAAGTGTCTCCAAAGCAACTGCACCAATTTCCCTGTAATGGCCCTCCCTAGAGAGCCTGGGTGGTCAAAGGGCTAGATTCACCCCCAGGAGTAGGAAGGACATTCCACAGGGCTGTCAGAAATGACTGACACACATCATGGGATGCTCTAAGCTCCGAAGAGCCACCATAGGGCATGGATGAGTTGGCCTGGTCTTTTCCTAGTGACAATGATCCAGACCTTTAGCCTGTGGAAAGGGAAGCACCTCTATGGCCAGAAGAATTAGGTCTGGTTGGTGATTGTCCTGATGGAAGGGCAAGTGCACCCAGGACATGATGGGAAGGGAAACTCCTCTGAGCCAGGAAGAGTAGGCTTGGTTGGTGACTACCTTAATAATGGGAGGGCAGGGGTACCCAAGACATGGTGGCTGTGTTCACCATGCACAGCCAGTCACCATCCACTTCAGGAGCCCCAAGAGGAGCATGAGAGCTCCAGAGAAATACTCAGCCTCCTACCTGGTTTCCAGAGATTTCTGTGGCAGTGGAGGTGGCCCCACAGTGGGAGAGCTACATCTTGGAGGCATCTGCATCAGAAACAGAAGAGTCACCATAGAGGACAGTTACTGTGTGGGTGCCACCCACCGTCCTTTCCCCTTCTTTGGACAATTTCTTTGCGGAGTTGCATTTCTGCCCCTGGGTACAGCCATGGTGGATATGTCAATTTGGGTGCTTTGCTCTATCAAGATGCCAGGGAAGCAGGCATATTGACCCATCTGGGCCTGCTTGCCTCTCCTTCCTGGGCCCCAAGTCATATCCTAGCAATAAGGCCCTGAGACCTGGGTCCCTGGGCTTCATTGTTCCTGCCTTTTCTTGGTTCTTCAGCTTTTCTTTTCATTCAGAGAGGCTCTGCACACCTTTACAAAAACATTTCCTCTTGGCCTAGGTTAGCCAGAGTTGATTTCTGTTGCTTACAACGAGAGAACTCTAATTAACATAGTCACTCAACAAACCTGAGCAACATCTGCTGCCGGCCAAGCCCTGTGCTAGGTGTGGAGCGAGCACTCCCCACCTCTGGGAGGCAGATAAGTGAACCAGTATAAAAGAACAATGCAACAGGTCCTTATGGTATCGACTCCTATAACATAACATGGGAAGAGAGAGGAGGGAAGGGCTCCCCTTGCTGGTGGAAATGTTGGGAAGGCTTCAGAAGGGACGGTGCTTGAGCTGAATCTTGAGAAATGAGAATGAGCCACAAAGAAGGCAGGAAAGGAAAGAGCATCACAGATGGGGCGACCATGAGCTAACGGTGGCATGAAAGAACACAGTCCTATGTTTCCAGAATTGCACAGACTGCAAAGAGCACCACTTTTCTCCAGAGCCCAGAGTCTTCTTGGTCTACTATAGGAAGAACCCTTACATATAGCACAGTTGTTAAGTACCTGGGCTTTTTGGTCAGAGATACCTGGGGTCAAGTCCAGGTTCTGCTACCTACTTGCAGTGTGACCTAGAGTAAATTACCATCTGTGCACTTCAGTTTCATCACAATAAAATAAGGATCCCAACGAGGCATCATGAGGAATAAATGAGGTGAGCCACATATAATGCTCATTGTAGTGATGACACAGAGGTANCAATCACCCTAACATTGCCATTTTTCTCTGGGGCTACAGCCTCAGAGAACAACCATTCTCTGGAAAGTGGGCTTTGAGAATATAGGCTCTGGAGCCTCAGCACTCTTCTGGGGAAGCTTCCATCATGCACGTGGCTGCCTTCTCCAGGCACCTTAGCTGATAGCCTGTTTCATGGTGCTGAAGCCTCCATACCTCCCTTACATACAAAGCCCAACTTGGAAACATGTTCTAAAAAGCTGACATAGGGTACCAGACATGGGTTCATTTTAGAAGGAACTAGACAGGTGACAGCCAGGTGACCCCCCCATAGACCAGCCCATTATAAGCTCACTCTTATATAAAGTGTCTCCAAAGCAACTGCACCAATTTCCCTGTAATGGCCCTCCCTAGAGAGCCTGGGTGGTCAAAGGGCTAGATTCACCCCCAGAAGTAGGAAGGACATTCCACAGGGCTGTCAGAAATGACTGACACACATCATGGGATGCTCTAAGCTCCAAAGAGCCACCATAGGGCATGGATGAGTTGGCCTGGTCTTTTCCTAGTGACAATGATCCAGACCTTTAGCCTGTGGAAAGGGAAGCAC